GCGGGCGGCTGTCCCGGCGGCGCGGGCCTTGGCACGGGGGAGTTAACACTTCATGCTTCTCGCCTCCTCTTCTGCCTGGCTCTTTTTACTATTTTTTTTTTTTCTTTCCTTTCTCTCTTTCGCTCGCTCTCTCCCTCCGTGCAAAGTGCAAGACAGAGGTGCAGCCCCGCTGGAGGAAAGGGAGGGGGGAGTTTAGTTCTTTCTTGCCTTTTAAAAAAAAAAGCAAAATAGCGAAGTCCTGGGGAAAGGCAAAGCAGAGAGCAAAAGGGGGGAGGCCGAGCCGACTAGCAGCCCGAGCTACAGCTCGAAGATGAAAAAAGATTTTAAAGCCTCTGATCCAGCAAGAAGAGTTTAAAGCAATTGCTGAGTTTTATAGCACTCGTGACGTCAAGCTCAAATGGGAAATTGACTGGCACTACGGGCCAATGGGAGGCGGCGAGAGAGGCCGCGATTAGCATAATAGTATAGAAACAAGGAAACTTTTCCGAGCTGTCAATCAGGGCCCAATCAGCTGACTGTCAGCTGGGACGGGCTGGCTTAACCCTTTGCGCGCCGCAGCCTCCCAGGGAGTGAGCGAGGCCCGGCGCAAAGTTTGGTTCAGTAGGGGAAGGAGTTCTCCAGAGGGGCTACGGGAACTCGGACCCGGGAGGACGGTTTGCTTCCCTTTGGAGCGTGCAGGAGGCCTGCCTTCCAGAGTCCCGGTCAGCCTGCCACTCACTTCTTGGGAATTGGCCTGACTCCTCTCCTTTGCATGCCCCCCCACCTTGTGAATTCGCCTTGCAGCGTTTTCTCCTCCAACCACCTTTGGCACCCAGGTGACTGTCGGTGGACCTTCCTTCCCAGGGTCTGGCTGTGCTGGAGCTCAAACTTGGCCCCAAGTCTTTGTCCCGGTGCCCTTGCACAGAGATGGGGCTGCGGTGGTGTGTGTGGGTCCGGATTGCGTCGGGATGCCGCCAGGCCCTGCGCCTGCCCCGGTGGTTCGGAGTCTGCGAGGAAAGCAAGCCCATTTTATCACCCTCTCTTAAAGGAAGTGAACTAAGTTGTTCAGGGGCCGTTCTGCGCGGGGACTGGCTGCCCGCTGGCGACGCGTGCCCTTGGGGGGAGTGAGCGCCTACGCGAGTTAACTCCGGGAAAGCTCAAAGTCAGGTCAGCGGGGCTCAGCATGCCGGCTCCCGATTCTGGCCGAAGTTTGGCCTTTGTGATTTATTTCTCTCTGTCTCTCTCTGTCTCTGTCTCTCTCTCTGTCTCTCTCTCTCTCTCTCGCAAGCAGCTCACCCATCTCCTTATGAAATCTGACCCCTGTTTATCTGGGTCCTGTGCGCCCTTTGCACTTCTACGTTTCCTTTAATAATTTCGGACTTGGTCCTGACAAGTCCGAAAAACAATACCCCAGCCTTCCCTAGCTCCCTTCCAAGGGTTAAATTTTAAACCGCGGTTTCTCCGACAGCCCGGAAACCCAGAACCCAGAGTGGGGGTGGGGTGGGGGCCTGCTTGCCCCCCTCCTGGTTGCAAATGCTAATAACTATTGTAGTTTAGTCTTTTAGATCGATTCTTTTAAAGCTTATGCAAAAAAAAAAAAAAAAAAAAAAAAAAAAAAAAAGAGAGAAAGAGAAAAAAGAAAAGAAAAAGAAAAGAAAAAGAAAAGAAAAAGGAAGAAACCGACCACTCTGTTTCTAAGATTTTAAAGCGATAGACAAGTCGGCGAAGCTGAGATTTATTTGGGGGACAGCAAGAGCACAGAAAGGCGACCAAACATTTGCAAGACCAGCCAGCCTGCCTAGAAGTTGAGACTGTTGATTCCCCCAATTAATGAAATGCATTTTGTGTTAATCGTATTTATTTTACTTTATGGAAGGGGGTGACACTGGGAGGGTGCATTTAAAAAAAAAATTCTGAAAAGCCTGCAAACGGATCGAAGAGTGAAAACTATTGTTGGAACGAGTTGGTTTTTACCTCAACAGCGCCACCTTTCGGCAAAGGTCAGTCGAAATTGATCCGTGTCCAGTTCTGTTGATGAAGTGAAAAGAAACTAGTTGTCCACTGTGGGAGGAGATAGAAGCACAGAAAGTTAGTTTGACTGCCCAGGAGAACCCGACCTTGTAGGAGAGGTGCCTAAGGAAGGGCTGGCAGGTACGGGAAGTGTTTTTCTTCCTTGCTGTTCCCCTTGATTGTTAGTAAAGAGGCCCGGGGACACAGAAACCCTGTGGGTATAATTGTGGCCTAGAGACCTTTGGAAGCACATCCCATGTAGCAGGGCCTCAAACCCTTTAAAAGCGCCAGGATGGATTTTCAACGGGCTTTATGGCAATATCAATAGAATTAAAGTTACTTGTAATTCAGTGATAAATGAGATGTCTCTAGTAAGTAAGATTAAGTGCAGTGCTATAAAGTTGTTTATCTGAAAAGTAATTCTCAGAAAACCTGACTTCTGACACTTAGTCATATATTAAGCCAGCTTCTTGAACATTGCACTTCAGCATAGTCTTACCAACCTGCAGCACGCTTTACTATGTACCGCGAGACCTTAGGCGTCACTCACTCCGTAGACCAGATTATACCTGTGTTCATTTCTCTGAGCCTTGCAGTCTTGTTTCAGCTAACTGGGTATCTGCTAATGGGAGACTCCTCCAAATGTTTGTAGAGACATCCTAACCCTAAAAGGCCATGCCTGCTGGTATTGTCCAAGCACTTTTTCTTTTCATCATTACTGCACAAAAGTTGTTTATAAGGATAGTTTTGCTTTTGTAGGAGTGCTTTGTTGCCTATACCACATTGGGGGAGAAAGAGTGAAGATTATGTCAATATTTATGCAACATAACAGAATTCCCTTGCTTTCCTCCTCTTTAACAATATTTTAACTAGTAATGAAGTTAAAGGATTATATTATAGTTTATGTAGTCAGAGGAGAATCCACCGCTTAGATTACATAAACACATGTCATTTAGCATTGTCCATAGCAATAGTGTTCTAGATTCTGTCAGTCATTAGCTACAAATGTTTGAGGTTTGTGTTGTGTTAAATGTGAATTTATGTATATTTAGAGATAATTCATTCTTTTTCATTTATGATTTTCTTAAAGCCTTTTGCATCATGATTTGTCAAATACTGTAAGGTCTGCTCCTTGCCTCTCAGGAAAGAAAATAATTTTTGGCTAGGAAAACTGAAACTGCTGCAGTTATAAACAACATTTTATAAACAAAGTTTGCTGATGACAAAGACCATGCCATATAGATTCATGGCTGTGGTACCTAATTGTGGCAATTACATGTCATTTTTAGAAATTAAATGCCCATGTTTGGGTAGCTAAATGTATTATTATCTGCACATTTTTTATGGTTTATTTTTGTACACTGCTGTCAAGCCATGGTGTTTTTCTTTCGCCTATTACAGAGTCTTTGCTAGTCTCCCATTTTCTCTTTAAAAAAAAAAAAAAAAAGAGGATCCAAATTATTTTTTAGATGTGTAGTAGAAGTGCTCTCAGGCTTATAACTTAATTCTCATTTTTGTCCTTTTTACTTTATTATTTAGTGATTCACAGGGGTGTCTAAACATTTACAGTTCTCGGTTAGCAGCATTTCTTGTGTAACAATTGAGCTCTCTCATTTTAATTAGTACTATTCAGGTTTCCGATTCTCTACAATTACAGCCGGCCACATTTCTTTAGGCTTCTTTGCTAACATTGTTTGTTTCACTTCCATCCAAGCCAATCTAATCCAAATACAATATGAACTGTGTTTTCTTACTGCTTAATATCCCCTTGCTATACTCTGGTATATACTCTGGTAATCTCTGTAGAACAATATGCAGTCATTTAGAAACCATGCGTTTGTCCTTATTGACCAATTCAAACCAGTAGCATTAAAGTTTCTGAGACCAAGGAATGTTTATAGAAGATTTTTGAGGAAGAGGAGGGTATTGGTCAGATCACGTATGATTGCAAAACAGTAACATAGAAAAGGCAATTGTCATTTCATGCCAGTACATACGTAACATTTTCTTTTGGAAAGAGAGAGAGAGAGAGAGAGAGAGAAACCTGACGTCCAAATTACAGAGATTAAAATCTAAAAAGAATATATTTTTCCTGATAGTGAGTTCTAGTAACTCCAGTATATCATGTTGGAATCAGACACGTATAATCTGAATAGAACAGGATGTGCCAAATACCATGTCTCAACTCTTTGTTTATCTGGGAGCTGGTTTTATAGTGCAGAGCTAACCAGTGTCCACTACATTTAACTATGAAACCCACTACATTGATCGGAGAAAGAGTTGGCCAGAGTAACAGAATGATAAGGCATATACTGTTCTTAGGTCTAGTGCTAGATAAATCCTTTTAACAGTCTTCAGTTAGCAGGGTAAGTAAATCACAAATCACTGTTAGCAGATTCATGGAGGAAAATTAATAGAATCAGACGAGATAATCTGATAAGGGTAAAATTGCTGAGGAAACAGTCTTGCCTCCTATCTGAGGATGGGAAACAACAGTCTGATTACTAGGAGTCGTTATGAATAGGTGAATTATGTGCTAAATAATCATCACACTAATTCAGCATTTATTAATTCTTTTCTCTTTAAGCAATTCACAGTTGTAAGTTAAAGCCGCTCTCTCTTTGAAGATACATCTTTTATAATTTTTATTAGAGGTAATTTATTATTTGCATTACCTGTATTTACTTCATAATTGAACATTTTGCATTCAAATTTATGTAATGCATTATGCCTGAGAATATATTTCTGCCTGATTAGCATAAATAGTCACTTACCTCATGAATTACTAACAAAGTTTGTCTTAAAATATAGGTTTTTTTATTAAGTGGAACACAAACATATGTACAATAAATTCTGATTTTCCGGTGCAGTTAGAGAACAACTCACGTTCGGCTATGGAGAAGCCAGGGGAGGAGTCATGAGAGGAAAGTAAATATAGACAAATGAGATGCGTAGATTTCTTTTCAGGGGTGTCATTTCGATGGGGGTGTATGCCTGGGGTGGCGTGGGGGCAAAGTTGTGAAGGTGGCACGGGGTTCTTCACAAATGGTTTGACTTACTCATTGTATGATCCCAACATGAAATGGAGCCTAGGAAAACCAGAAATAGTGATGTCCATCTTTGGGGCGGGGTGTGGGAAAGGGACCATAATAGCAAATGAATAGCATTGACAGAGTCTTGAAGGGTTATTTTATTTTTGTTTGTTTGTTTTGTGTTTGTCTCTACAGGGTTCTTCCTTAGGATTCCATACCCAGCATTTAGTGAAATACTTCTCTGTTTTGCACGGGTGGTGTGAGAATTCTCAGGATATGATATCTGGCCCAGTGCTCTTCTCTTTCATCTGATGAAAACACCCTGTAAGGGCTGGTGACAGGAGGGGTTTCGTGAATGGTTCTGTGCACCCACGGACATCGGAGTGAAAGGACTTCTTTCGGTTTGAAGCAATAGACAGTTATAAAATGATGGGCCTATTTCCCCTCTCTTTCCATTCCAAATTAACACACTTCCATGGTTTTCTTTTTCTTTTTTTTTTCTTTTTTCCTTTTTTTAGGGCACTGCAGTCTTCTTAGATTTTTTTTTTCTTTTCTTTCCATTAGGGACTGATTATGATTCACTTTTCCATTGTCATCCCTTTTGATCCTATTCACTGCTTATACCGGTGAGGGAATTTGTCTCGAAAGCATGCAACCCTTCAAAGATTTTCATTGTGGTGAACTCAGAACTGATTAAAAAATAAATAAAACAGGAATAAATAAAAGGACCTGATGTCAGAACAATCTTTCTTTCGGCTGTGTCTTTCATGCATGATAACTCAGAGGACAGGCCTGTTGGTGGTGCAGGTTTCGTCACGTTTTGGTCACCTTTCTTCCTACCCTTGTGATGGGAAGATTCATAGCTCTGTTTCAGAGGCAGAGACTTGGAGGTTCAGAAACTGCAGACCAAACTTAAATACTCCTATGTTTACCAGGCTGAGCATGCCATATCAACGCAGATGGTTTCTGAGTGTGCTTGGCGAGGACTCGAGAAAAGGGGTCTCTCACAGCCCTGTTTATCGTGTAGTTCTGGGCTGCACAGTGAGTGTGGCTCTGAGTATTCTGTGCATTAAAAATGCCTAAAACACCCAGAAACACCCTTATAACATTGTTCACAACAAAACAGTCCTGATTTGACAAAGGGTAGAAAAATGGACCAGTCCCCCTGCCCCCAAATTACAATATGAAGGTCAAATTTAAAGACCTTCTGTGAGTATTTTTTATTTAATCATTGCATAACAGTGATATATAAATGTCACTTCATTAACTATAAATATTTGAACAAAACAGGAACAGAGGATATCAAGCAAAAACATTGCTGTTCTTCATCTCCACTGCCCACCTAACCTTCACTCCTGTTATAATTGGGGTACGCGTGCATGCTTTTTACAGAGCGAAATCATCGCATTTTAACAGGTGCTCCATTCTAAACACGTTCACCTTAACTATCTCAAGAAAGGGGTTTTGAGCATTTCTCTATTCTCTGGCAAAAAATTTGCCTAGTAGAATATCAGACTGGGGGGAGCTTAGAGATCTGATTTTAACACCTGCCTTCCGACTGTGTGCAAATCCGAATCTGCTTTGCAATGCCCTGGAGGTGAGTTGTCAAAATGCAGAGCCCAGCTCCCCCCTAGGTCCAACAGACACAGGGCCTGGGGCCCAAGAGACTTCAAGGGGCCCATGAAAATATTTTTAAAGTCAGAAGAAAGTCACATAACCTGGTGGATATCCATTATCATATCAACATGGTCATAAGTATAATTAAAAGACAAAGAGGTCTACAGAAGCCCAAGTGCTGAGAGTCCATGCAGGTTCGAACATGACTCTGACAGCATGAACTTGGTAGCTTCCCGTGACAGGAGGCTCACTGCCTGTCAGTGTTAACTTCCATCTTGTCCATCCATCTTTTCTTAGTTCTTGAGGTTGTCAAGAGCACGTTTTCTCTGTTTGTTAGTTTTGGCCTAAAGCCATATTCCTTTCTTTATACATTAGTTCTTATTTTATTATGTACATCCATAATAAGTCATCACGGGCCACATGGGCTTTGGCAAGTGGAAGACAGCCTGTACGGCACCCTTTGCCTGCCTTTTGTATTTAACATTTTCACATTTACTTAGTTTTCAAGTGGCCTGGCCTTGGCCCACCTGGTTCATCTTCCTTCTGAGGGTTCAAGTCCCAGAGCTGACGTTGCAGTGCCCAGATGTGAACCTCTCATCACACAGCAAGTGCCACTTTCCACCTCTGTGTGCTGTGGCTCGCCTCAGCCTGATGTACGCCGTCATTTCCGAGCTTCCCTCAGCTTAGGGATGGGACCCTCAAGCCCTAGCCTCTTCTCACCTTTTTCCCATTGTGCTTTTGTGTGCTTACGTTTTTGATCCCATTAGATTCAACCTCTTCGCTGCTTGTCTAAATCTCTTTGGATCTAGAATGTACCACTGACTAGTTTTAATTTGCTTCCCAGCTTTGTGCCAGCTGCAAATGAAATCGATGTGCTTTTTATATGACTTAGCATCTCAGAACCAGATTCCTCACCAGCCAGTTGGGGTATTGTCAGGACTAGAGGCGATGCCTGGGGAGGATCTTACACAGTGCAAGCCCACAGAGGAGCTGGAATGGTGGGTGGTGCTTTCCCACGTTTCTTTCTGTCCTCCTGAGTACCTGAGAACGTAGGAAGGGACACAACCTGGTAGCACCTCAGTAGAGACTGTCCCTCCCAATGCTCAACGTTTATGCACAGAGGCCACTGGCTCATTCAAATCCCATATTGAACACTTTATTTTTATTTATTTTAAAAGTTTACTCACTTATTTTATCGGGCTGTTGCCAAGGCTCTAAACAATATCAACTTGAAATGTTAGCATCTTCTGACCTGTTAGCTACAGGAGGGTGGGCTTGCCGTTCTGACCCAGCACACTGGCTCTGCCGTTGTGACCTCAGAGGTACTCCAACTTTTGTGACCCATCAGGCTCCACAACCACCCTGCATGAAGGTCAACTTTTATCTGTGTCTAAGGGTATCAGCACCTGATTCCCTACAGGGCTTACCTACCCATGGAGAGAGGAGAGACCCCAGTAGGCTCTTCACACAGCAGTATACCCCCAGCCTCGACCAGCTGGGATCATGGGCACACACGTTCGTGTCCACCGAATCCTGGGCCAAGAACTAAAGCCCATCACAGGTGGGTCCAGTTGCATTGCCTATGCTACCACCTGGCCTCCCAAGAGACATTTGAAGCTAACTTGGCCTGCTTGGTTACGGAGCTGACTTTAAGCTAAATTACCTCCTCTAGAGGTCCTACTTATGTCCTTCCACCGAATTCTAAAATAATTTTACTTTATTTGTGGTTTGGGCCAAATGTTCCATCAGAGGATAGATTACTAGGTAATTGTTTCACATTTCTCACCTGCCTTTATCTTTTTTAAACCTTTGTCCTGTCAAAATGCAGAGTTGTCCAGAGCTGGGACCCCGGAGACTAATAAAAAATAGATGCGACTGAAAAAAGTCAAGCACAAGAGTTCTGTGCATGTACAAAAGTGTGCAGGAGATCAGGTCTTTCCTCTTAGTTTTTCTCTTGTTTAGATCACCATCTTGCCTGTCGTTTTCCTGAATGCCAATTTTGAAGCCAGGAGCCTCTGAGGCATTTCCCAGAACCGAGGAGTTTAGAAATTTCTGTGCCTCCGGTTTCTCTCGAAGGGAGAGAGAGAAACCCCCTTTCAAAGAAGCCTGGAAGCAGTCATAAGTTATTACAGACCTGCCGTTCATGTCCTGCTGGAGATAGCCTGGTTCTGGCTGTTTCGGCAGATCTAGCCCAGGACCAGCTGGGCTCAGGAGGATGATGGGGCCCCTCAGAGAAGCCTCGCTGATGACGACTCTCACGCAAGCTGCTTACTGGGGAAGAGGCTGGGTGCTTTTGCAACCATAGAGCTCTGGTGGGTTGGGCTGGGGGCCTGGGGAACAGCCTGCAGAGGCAGCCTCTGAGCTCAGTGTGCAGGTCTCAGGCTGACTCACCCTCTGATCTCAGGGAAGCTCTTCACTGTTCTCCTCCAGCTCATGTTTTAGGCTGTAAATGGACTGAGCTGCTTAACAAGGTTAACAAAGATTCCAGCTTACACGGAGGGAATGTTCTCAGCCCACTGAGGCTGCATGTAAGGTGGCTTAATGGGGAGCAGACAGCTCTAGCCACAGACGAGAGCTGATGCATAGGGTTGTTGTGGAGCCTGATGGGTCATGATGGCAGTCAGAGTACCTCTGAGGTCACAATGGCAGAGCCAGCATTACAGGTCAGAATGGAGGGCTACTCACTCCAATATCTCCAGGCCAGAGGATGCTGTTGTTTTAGGTTGATATTGTTTAGAGTCTTGGCAACAGCACAATAAGAAAGAATTCTAGGTTTCCAAAGGTCACTGGGCAGGGACACAGGCCCAGGAAGTGCCCTGCTTTGGCACCAGGCCAACAGGGCCTGAATCCTACTTCTTTTCAGGAGTGAGACCATGGGCAAGCAGAGACCTTCTCTGGCTCCAAGTCTTGTTCTTGAGAGTTTTTAAAAGTTTATTTATTTATTTATTTTAATTTTTTTTTGGAGAAGTTTTTGCTATAGGGTGCGGGCACTCACTAGAAAGACAGAGAGAGACAGAGAGTGAGAAATCACCCTCCTCCCCTGGCAGGGGAGATGGCCACGCTGCAATTCCTTCTCCTCCATTCTCCTCTAGGGATCTCAGGCACGCACGCACAGGTGCCTGGTATGAGTTTAAGTACCGGGTGGGTCCAGGATTTGAACTGTGGTTGACTACATGGGAGTCCAGCGACATAGTCATTACATCAACTGCTGGTCCCAAGTTCATTTATTTTAGAAAGACAGAGATAGACAGAGACAAAAAGAGGGACAGTATGCCCGTTGGGGTCTTGATGCCATAACCCGTCCCTTGCCTCAGCCAGCACAAGTCATGCATGCCTGAAATACTCAGGGAGGTTTGGATATGAACCCTAAACCTTCCCATGTGGGTCAGCCTTGCAGTGTCATGTTGCCACTGTGCCACCGACCACCCCCTCAGTGTTTCTCTTAATCAAAGGTGAAGGGGTTTCTGTGACCATGATGAGTGTAAACACCAGGTGCTTGGCACAGCGCTTGCCTGTTGGTGAACATGCAGAAGACCATGTCCTGTAGCATGTTCTGGGCCTCTGCTAATGTGCTCCGTGCACCATTTCACAGTGCATGGCCTAAGGCATACTAGGAACTTGGGAAACCTCCTCTGTCTTTCATGTTCCTGTCTTTAAAACTATACTTAGCCCAGAACCTGGCCTCTCTTTTTCCCTCTCGGCTGAGTCCTTGCATGATTTTGATCAACAGGAATTCTACCCTCTCCTCATGTGACCTGCCTTCTGTCCTATTTCCTGACTAATTTTGACTCTTCTTTGGGTCTCGGGTTTCCTCTGAGAAGCCATATCTATGTCATGCCACCCTCTGCCCCCATGGTAAGCCAGGTGCCCAGTCTCTGTGCTCAGTGTGCTAAAGGCCTCATGGTGCCCTGGTTGTTCCCCACCCACCTGTGAGTGTATGGAAGCCAGAGAGCACACCTCTTATGTCTTCATCTTCTGCACCTACTACAGTGTTTAGTATACAGTAGGTGCCTAATAAATGCTTACTCAACAGAAATGTCTAAACAGATGCTTGGATTCTTGGCCTCTTTTTTTCTTTTTCATTTTGAAGTTCTAACCCACAAAGAGTGTCCTTTCAAATGTCCCAGGAACCATGTCTTTGATAGGGGCAGTGCAGCCAGTTGCTCTGTTGCAACCCAACCATTCTTACACTCACCTCGTACTAGTTGCATTGGCCCATCGCCATCAGGATGCTTATCTGGTTAATTACTTAACCTATATCTCCCTGAGATGGGATTGGCTGGAAAATATGGTGGAGATATGCAGGCCTGAGAGCTGAGGTGGTACAGCCACTCTCAGTGGGATGAACTTTGGGATGAAGGGGGTGGTAGAATTAAGTGCCTGAGAGTAAGCAAGGTGCCTGTGCTCCAGCATTGCTGGCTGCTGTGGTCAGGCCCTGCTCTGGCTTTGAGCTGCATCTGCTTTCCCAGCACTTCCAGGCACACAGACACTATTTTGTAATCTTTAGGCAACATGCAAGGCCCACCTTCATTTCCACATCCCTGATCCCGCCCATTCTTCAAGGCACAGTTCATATGCAATGTTGCACCTGAAGCTCTGGGCATAGTGTCTGGCATCTAGTAAGCATTTAATAAAGACCAGATGATAATTCTATGCCCTGTCTCTAGAAGTCCTCCTCGGCCCCTGCCTTTCATCTGTGGATCCCCGTAGTTGTAGACCTCTCTTTAGGAGCCTCATAGTACAGCTTTGGGAGACAGCATGGTATAGTTTCCAGGCAAGGTAGTGACTTACTGGTTGTGTGATCTTAGAGAAGTTCTTTATGTACTTTCTTTTTTTCTTTCTTCTTTCTTTCTTTCTTTTTTTTTTTCCCCCAGAGGTATTTTTTTGCTATAGGATGCATGTACTTGCTGAAGAGACAGAGAGACAGAAAGCGAGAAATCACCACCCCCCCACCTCTCCTCCCTGGTGGGGAATGGCCATGCCACAATCATTTCTCCTCCATACTCCTCTTGGGATCTTGGGCACACCACACACACATGCCTGGTGTGAGTTTTAAGTTGCCAGGTTCGGGACTTGAATCATGGTTGACTACATGGGAGTCCAGCGATATAACCATTACACCATCTGCTGGATGTGCTTTCGAGTCCCAGTGTCTTCAATGCTATAATGGAATGCCAACTAGCCCTCTTTGAGTTGAAAAAATTTTGACCTAAATTGGCTTAAACAAAAAGGTAATTTACTGGCTCATATGATCAAAAGGTCCAGGGATAGAGCTGGTGTCAGGCCTGGCTGGGGCAGGATTCATATGACATCACTGGAATCAGCTTCTCTTTGTGTGAACTCCAAGTCAGGCTTCACAGGGGGCACAGTAGCTGGAGTGGCTCCCAGGTTAGGTCCAGAAGGAGTTAGTCTGAGTCTACAATAGAGCACATGGAAGTCATGGTATGTGCTCCATCAGCTTGCTTCGTTTGATGGCTAAATGCCCTTCCCTGGGTCAACCCCTTCACCAAAGGATGAAATATCTGATTGGCTCAGACTTAGACTTCAAAATGGGATGGGACAGGGGCCTGGGGAGTTCTTCGAGTCCCTCCGAGTGTGATGGAGGACCAGCCCCCACAGTGACATGCAGCCTGCGTCAAATTATGACATTACTAAGAGCTGACACGTAGGCCACCTACCCAGGTCTTGCCCTCGGTTTAACTCATTGGTCATCACAATAGCCCTGTGAGACACGCACTGCTGTTATTTCTGTTTGGTCGAAGAGGAAGGTAGCATAGCTCCTTATCTTTCCCTTAGGTATCTCCATAAAGAGCCTTTCTTCTTTTTTTTTTTTTTTTTTTTTTTTAGAGATTTTTTGCTATAGGGTGCATGCACTCACCAGAGAGACAGACGGAGAGACAGAAAGTGAGAAATCACCCCCCGGGGGGATGGCCACAATGCAATCCCACATCCCCCATTCTCCTCTTGGGATTTGAGGCATGCAAGCACACATACCTGACATGAGTTTTAAGCCTCTGGGTCCAGGACTCAAACTCTGGTTAACCGCATGTGAGTCCAGTGTCCCAACCACTATGCTACCTGCTGACCCCCATAAAGAGCCTTTTTAAGGTCACAGGGCTGACAGTGGTACACACAATGAATCCAGGCATGACTTCAGAGTTCACACTCAGAACTGCTTTCTTTGAATATCTATTGTAAGAGAGAGACAGTCAAGAAATAGACAAGAATATAATGGAATATTGTGCAATATCATAGAACACTGTGGAATATAAGAATATAGTTTTATATCATATTGTATCATATCATATCATACCATATCATCATGGAAGACATTGGCAAGGGGGTCCATTCATTATCCACACCCAGAGCATCTAACATGAGCATGGCTCAG